GGACACTACACAGTCAGAGCAGAGAGTGAGCACACCACAGTCAAAGCAGAAAGTGAGCACACCACAGTCAGAGCAGAGAGTGGACACTACACAGTCAGAGCAGAGAGTGGACACTGCACAGTCAGAGCAGAGAGTGAGCACACCACAGTCAGAGCAGAGAGTGGACACTACACAGTCAGAGCAGAAAGTGAGCACACCACAGTCAGAGCAGAGAGTGAACACACCACAGTCAGAGCAGAGAGTGAACACACCAGTCAGAGCAGAGAGTGAGCACACCACAGTCAAAGCAGAAAGTGAGCACACCACAGTCAGAGCAGAGAGTGGACACTACACAGTCAGAGCAGAGAGTGGACACACTACAGTCAGAGCAGAGAGTGAACACACCTGTCAGAGCAGAAAGTGAACACACTACAGTCAGAGCAGAGAGTGGACACACCACAGTCAGAGCAGAGAGTGAACACACCAGTCAGAGCAGAGAGTGAGCACACCTGTCAGAGCAGAAAGTGAACACACCACAGTCAGAGCAGAGAGTGAACACACCAGTCAGAGCAGAGAGTGGACACTACACAGTCAGAGCAGAGAGTGGACACTGCACAGTCAGAGCAGAGAGTGAGCACACCACAGTCAGAGCAGAGAGTGGACACTACACAGTCAGAGCAGAAAGTGAGCACACCACAGTCAGAGCAGAGAGTGAACACACCACAGTCAGAGCAGAGAGTGAACACACCAGTCAGAGCAGAGAGTGAGCACACCACAGTCAAAGCAGAAAGTGAGCACACACAGTCAGAGCAGAGAGTGGACACTACACAGTCAGAGCAGAGAGTGAGCACACCACAGTCAGAGCAAAAAGTGAGCACACCAGTCAGAGCAGAGAGTGGACACTACACAGTCAGAGCAGAGAGTGAGTACACCAGTCAAAGCAGAGAATGCACACACCAGTCAGAGCAGAGAGTGGACACACCACAGTCAGAGCAGAGAGTGAACACACCAGTCAGAGCAGAGAGTGAGCACACCTGTCAGAGCAGAAAGTGAACACACCACAGTCAGAGCAGAGAGTGAACACACCAGTCAGAGCAGAGAGTGGACACTACACAGTCAGAGCAGAGAGTGGACACTACACAGTCAGAGCAGAGAGTGGACACACCACAGTCAGAGCAGAGAGTGGACACACCACAGTCAGAGCAGAGAGTGGACACTACACAGTCAGAGCAGAGAGTGTACACTACACAGTCAGAGCAGAGAGTGGACACTACACAGTCAGAGCAGAGAGTGGACACTACCCAGTCAGAGCAGAGAGTGAACACACCACAGTCAGAGCAGAGAGTGAGCACACCACAGTCAGAGCAGAAAGTGAGCACACCTGTCAGAGCAGGGAGTGGACACTACACAGTCAGAGCAGAGAGTGAACACACCACAGTCAAAGCAGAAAGTG